GGATTATTTTCGCATGGGCTTCTCTGTGGTATACTAATGTCTGAGCACATCACAGCTGATGAATTTAATTTCATAACTCCTGTGTGCTGTAGGAAAGCATTCTCATCATCCCCAAGTTACAGCAGAGGAGCTGTGGCACAGAGGGAGAAGGGGGCTGACATTTTGCATGTCTCAGTGATGGGTCACCAAGTTTGAGACCTCCTGGGTTTGATTTTGCAGACTAGGTGATCCCCTCCTTAAGACAGGCCATGAGACATACCCTAAGTGGTGCTGAGAAACCTTTCAGGGGCCTGGCGAATTGGTTTTGCTTACACATTCAGGGTGAAGTCCTTCACCAGATTTGGAGTCAGGAGGGAACATTGACCTTCCTCAAACAGGTCTTTTCCTCAAGTCAGACAGGAAGGATCACTGGGTTTTTTTGGCCTAACTGTGTAGTATGGGGTATGACCCACTTCCTAGGAACATCTGGACATAACTAATTCCTGCCACAGAAGGGTTTGGTGCCACAGCTTTGGTGACGTCCCCGTCTTGCCCTGATGAATATCATGTGTACTCAGGATCCTGTGCGCGCTATAGGATGCTTTGTGGCTATGATGTGCAGGAGATGACAGAGTAGGCATTGTTACATCCATGCAAGATGGATGTGTATATCCACCCCAGTAGATCCTGGCTCTTTCATATCCCCGGTGGTTCACAACTCACTTTGTTCACAGTGGGTTGGTAAGTGAAGAACAAGCTATGCAGCTATTTGCTGTGGCTTTTACTTCCAAAGGTACCACTTCACCACCCAACTGAAGCACTCAGTGTTCCCACACAGATGTTACACACACACACACACACACACACACACACACACAGAGCTACATACAGTACTCAGTACATGTGATAGACAAGGCCCAGGTACCTCCAGTTGGGTACTCAGAAAGTGAAGAACACTGAGGTGGTATCTTTCATTTCACGACCATCCTTTTTCTTCTTGCATTTCATTGTCTCATTTACTACATGGATCCAACTTCCATGGTAAAGGAGGCACAGTCCTATAGACAATAAACTGTTTGCTGCACAGCCCTGGATTCATTCCCAGAATGCTGTCCATCTTGGTACTGAATGAGGCAGGGTCCTTTGTTCAAAATAGTATGTGATCATGTAATGAAAGACTGTATCATAATGCACAAGCACAAAAGGGCTGAATGTTACTTTTGTATTTCTAACTCTTTGAGTGCAGCCTTCCTGATGGACTATTACATTGCTTTTGCCTGTGCAATATTAGTAAGATGCCAGTTGTTGGCTATGGACCTCAAGACACCACTGTGTTATAGAGCATGTTGCCACGCTGTCCTCCAACACTGTCCCCAGGGATATCTGCACTGCTGAGTTGAGGCTGTATCTCAGGGTACTAGTTATGGGGGGTGTGCACGCAATTGAATTACTTCTTGCTACCTCTCCTTTTCACCCCTCCTGTATGGCATGATACATTGATCCTCTAGGCGCAGAAGGGCACCCCTGGTGTTCTCATGGCTGGCCTCTTGTGCTCCTGTCCACTGCAGTACCTCGTGGATACACACACGTAGGGCTCGTTTCAGACAGCAGCACAGTGCCTGAAGGGCTTGCATTTAGAGAACTGGAGCAAGAGGAGAGGGCAGCTGGACCACAAAGCCTTTATTGTCTTCCTTGGACCATGCTTATGCCCCTAGGTGGGGAAAGCATTAGGCACACTGAGCTACCAAGAGACAAATGTCAGTGTCTCCCCACGTCTGAGCTGCATGGGCAGGGGGAGGGGGCAGCTTTAGTGGAAGTGCAGGGAGCTGGACCTAATGCTGAAATGCGTCCTGGGAACAAATGAAGCCTTGTTTGAAAGTGCTCAAGTCTCCAGGGCAGCTACTAGCTTTCTGATTCTAAAGAGCCTTCTCTGGGAGAGTGAACTAGGGGCTGTAGAGGAGCAGAGCTCAGGAACTCCCCTTGCAGGCTTGTCCTGCCCTGTTTTCTGGATGGGGTGCACTGCAGGCCAGGGCTGGAGCTATTGGCAGGGCCGTGCAGGGAGCCCAGGATATATGTTGTGACAGTTGAGTGATACAGAAAAATAGCTGCTTGGATTTAGTGAAATCACCAGCTTCACTTCACTGAGACATTTAACATGCGTTTCCCAAGAAGCAGAATTCAGTGGCCCACTGCACATCCAGCTTGTTCAGCTCACCTCCTGGAAAACCTGTCCAGATCCATGTCTGAAGTACATAACCCAAGGGGCAAAGTACAGAGCCTTTGAAATACAAACTTAAAATGCCAGGGACTTCTGGAGCAGCCAGACCCTGGGGAGGTAGGTTGGTGACCATCCAGCTGCCGCAGGTGCCAGCCCACATATGGTCCAGGGGACAGGGCAGAAGCTGCATCCTAGTTTACCCTGGCAGGTGAATCAGTATCATTCCATCCAGTAGTGAGCAATGGCTCACACATGCTCAAGCCCCCTACACCACGCACTGCTCCCCTGAGGGCTGGCGGTGCTCAGCCCTGTGTTCAGTTCCAAGCATCTGGGCTATATTCATGTGATCACTGCCATGCTGATCTCTATCACAGTCCGTGCACCTGCAACAGGCTTGTTAGCTCATTACTGAGGCACAATGTCAAGAGCAGAGCTTCTTGCAGGAGTAGCTGAGCCTTGTGCCTAAGGCACAATAGTGAAAGGAACCTGGGCTCTAGCACTGGTACTGCTCCTAACTCACTGTAAGCTGGAACAAGTCCCTTCCCCACTTGGTGCCTCTATTTCCCCCAGGGGCAACATGATGCTTTTCTAAGGCACAAAGAGCTCCTTTGATAGAAGTGCCTGTTCTTTATGATCTCAGTCTCAGACACCAGCCACAACCACCTGCTTTAACTCTCCTGAGACAGGAAAGTTCTGACTTAGAGTGGAGCAACTCTGACACATGCCAGCCAGCTGAAGGCTGGAGGAAGGTGCTTTCCTTTGAGAATCAAGTCCTTCAGAGCAGGGGGGTTTATACAGCCTGGAGCTTGGTGTGTCTGTGCTGCAGGGGTCGGGCATAGGTGATGGGAGAGAAGTGCTGAGGCTGACGACCAATTAGTGCTATCAGTAGCAGCGTTTTTGTGATGCTGACAGCGCCTGCTTGCTAATAGCCGGAGGCGGTGGCTACCCAGGGGACCTTGACGGGTATAGCTGCTCATGAATAACTAGCCCTCTGTAACTCCTCTGGTAGCATTTAGCTATTAGGGACTAACTCCCTTGTGTGAATACTGGGATAAAGTCCTGTTTATTATCGAATGGAGTGTGCACTTGGGAGCTATTCCACAGGAGCTGTTGTAGAATAGCACGTTTGGCAGACACAGGCAGTGTCCCCACTGTTCCCACTGGCTGTCACCTGGCCATGAATCGTGCTGGATTTCATTCACTTCTAGGACAGTCAAGCTACAGGCAGTTCCAAATTTCCACCACTGCATGCCCAGTATAGAGCTCCTTGTCAGTGCTCAGTGGTGTCACTCCCCAGTGAAGCCGTTTCACTGCCCCTGCCACCCCATGGCAGGACTCTGCAGGCTCACACAGATGTTTATCTCCTCTCTGCAGAAAGTGCTGGTGCCTTAAAGCATTTGGAAAAGCACAAGTGGGGCAAATACGAAGTGCTAGGGGGCAGGTTTGGGTGCAGCTCACCGGAGAGTGCATTGAAATGTAAAGGGCTGTATGGCTGCATGTTGAAGCCATTCAAAGAAGTGCAATTCGGGTTCTCCTGGCAGTGCCTACTCCCTACTACTTGGCCTGCTATGTCTTCTGGTTAAACCCTTAGAAAACTGGCTAGTCCTATGGTGTTTTCTTGTTCAGGGCTGCCAGTTTCTTGGGGTGTGGTGCAAGGGATGAGAGGGTCTGTGTCTGAAAGGATGTTGCGGCTTGGTCAGCTCACTGGTTGAGCCTGTCTTTCATGACGCTGCTCCAGGCTCTTCCTCAGCCAGCCCTCCTCCATTAGTGCCCCTCACTCCTACTGCCTTTTGCTTCACATCAGGAGCAAGCCAGGGGGAGGCAACTGCCAGCAGCCTGCCCTTCTCCTAGCAGGTATATGCTAGCCTGGAACCCAGGGCAACTCAGCACTCAGAGGGTGACCGGTGGGGCAATAAGAATTATGAAGAGCAAAAGGCTCTCTGCTAGCAGGAGGAGAGGGAGGAGGAGTGGAGTGGAGATCTTGGTGTCTTGGAAAAACTAGGCTGTTGGAAGGGAGTGGGGATCAATTTGCAGGAGGAAAGGGGACAGTGGAGCTAGAGGAGAACAGAAATTAAAGCAAAGTGTCATAGAAGGAAGCTGGTCTCTTCCTGAGAGCTATAAGGGTGAAATGTATCTTGTCCAGCATGTGTCCAGTAGCTGTCCTAACAGCCTAGCATTACTCAGTGAACCTGAACTCCTGCAATGACATGGTACTTTGTACCTGATTATTACTGTGCCCCACAATCTATTTTGGTGCTTTATGATGGCATATATGAAACTTTACAGGGTAACTTCAGCTGGGCTGGAGCCTTTGGCTTTTGCTTGGTCATCCTAATGCCCTAATCTGGACTTGGTATCTTAGAAACACCAGAATGCAAACAGATGCCTGCAGAGAGGCACATACCAACCAAAAGCGCCCTAGTCTCCAGGTGTTTGGGACAGAGCCAGATGGGCTGGGGTGATAATGCATGCCTGTGCCATATGCTCCTTGGCATTTTCTGCAGCTGAGAGACTGCCTCCTTGGCAGGATGGCACTTTCCCCATGATCTCCCCCAGCCTTCCCAGGTGAGCTCTCTTGCTGGGAAGGATGAGAGGATTTGTACAGTTTGTTTGGACTTGATCTCTTTTGCAAATATCTCTTTGACAGGGTTCTTCCCTTGGCAGAACCCCCTTCATGGGGGCTAATGGAATAACAATGGGACTGAACTCTCCAAGGCTGGAGCTGTAGGAACAGCCTCCTCTGCCCTGCTCTGCATTGCCCTTTCCTCTGTGTTAACCTCTTCCTCTTCTCTCCTTTCCCAAGGGGCTGACACCCTGAGTGAGACGAGTTCTATCAGCCTGGAGGCCACGACTGACAGCCGAGAGACCTCCGTGGCCACCTCCATCCTGTCACCATTCACAGCTGGCCACGGCCGGGATGAGACAGACAATCGCAGTGAGCACAGCTACAGTGAGTCGGGGGCCAGCGGCTCCTCCTTTGAGGAGCTGGACCTGGAAGTCAGTGGGGATGGCGATAGCTCAGCAGTGCTACCTTCTGAACTGAGCTACACAGAGGACCAGGAGAGCATGAAGACCAAGTGGACCAAGGAGCCTATTGCCTTGGAGAAGGAGAGAGGAGAAGAATAAAGCAGAGTTCTTCCAGCTTCCTTGCCTTTAGTAGGGATTGTAATCACAGAGAACTGATTGCGTGTCCTGTTTTCTTTCTCTCCAACCAAGAGATTTCAGTCACTGATTCTTATTGAGACCTGCTCCCTGCTCTCTGCAGATGGGCACTTTGAGTGGTAGAGAGAAGGACGGTTATACCAAGGGGAATTGTTGCTGGGAGCTGTTCTGCAGTAGCCATTCACCAGCATATGTATTACAGCAGAGAGCTGGGGGGCGGAGGTGCAGTCTGTTTGATGAGCAGTGAAATGTACTTGCAGTTTGTGTGTCTGTAAATGCACAGTGAGCTCTGCACAAGCCAGTGGATGTGTGTGTGTGGACAGCCCAGGTCCTCTCCCCACCCCCACACCCAGCCCCTTCCTCTCCTCCAGGCAGCCTGTTTCTCTGTCACACAGACACATATTTACTGGCACCAAAGAGCAAACAATGGTTTTGTTCCATAAAAATGAAAGGTACAATGTAAAATTGCTGTTCTGAAGCTGACATCAGAGCGTTCGGGATCTGTAATAAAGTGAATGCTTTTGCTCTGAGTTTTGCGGGTTTGAGGGTAGGGGTCACGGGGCTGTCTCTGGAAGTGTTGGTTCTTGTCCTTTTTCACATTTAGCTGGACTGTCCCTGTACTTCAAACTTTCTCTGCTCTCAAATTATTCTACCTTGTAGAAGACCTGGCTTTCCCTGCTGATTGGAGCTGGAGACATTACTCTTGTTAGGAGCAGCTTGGGGTCTAAGTGAAATTCATTGAGGCCTTTCAGTACACACAAGCCTACACCAGTGATAGCATCCTCACTAGGGGCATTGACTTGCTGCCACTTGACTTGGACTGAAAGAGTCGGGGAGACCAAGCTCCTCTTTCTGTGTTAGAAGATGTCCCTCTGGGCAAGGGTAAAGCATGCTGGCGGAGGCAGCAAAGAGAAGCTTGCCTTGCCACCTCATGTGTTCCACCTACGGGGGAATAGAGGGTTTATCTCTCCATCTGCCAATCTTCACTTCCATGACCTCAAACACAATTAGACTAAACTGTCCCCTTACCACCCAAGACTCTCTCCTCTGAGGGTTCAAATCTTGTTCTGGCAGCTCTCTGCTCTGCTTTCCTATTCCCACTTTTTTTCCTGCCTTCTTTAGAGCCAGACCAGGTCCCAGGCTAGAGAATGAGAATGACACTTTGCATCATCTTTACAGCCTCCTTGAAGGCTTTCACATGTTTTTTGGTGGGGAGCAGGGTGGGATGGGCAGGGAGCTGCTGCATAGTATTCTTAGGGGTAATTGTGGGGAACATAGTTCTTCCCTGGTTATACTGTAGATGCCTGGATGGGGTGCTGTGGTATAGAAGAGATTGTCTGTGTGGGAGCCAGTCCAAGATGTGGTTTTCCTGTGCAGAAGGTTTATAGACAGAATGCTGTATGTACATGTAGAAATGGGGAGGGTATTCAGGGCTATTGCAATGGTTTCCCAGCACTGGGGGGTTATGCATAGGATCTGTAGATATACTTCAGAGCTAGGGCAGATTCACACATACACACACGTGCACACAGAGTATTGGGATATCTCAGTGCTGGTGATTCTCAGATGCACTAATGCAGTGTTGCAGACACAGTTTGGTGCTGGAAGTGTGCTCATTCAGTGCTGGGGTGTAGTGGTGGGGGGAGAATGTAGAGGTAGATGCAGATTTCATAGAGGCTGTTGCTGAGTGGAGCTTATGTACTGCTCTCCCACTGCCAGAGGTTCCCAGGTGCTGAGCTGAAAGCTTTCACAGTGGCATGCATCACTGTAGATCAGATTTTATATCATAGCATATCCTTTAGCTTGTCACCGAAACCCAAGCAATGCTGGGGATGCAGCCTGTAGACTGAACTGGGTCAGCCTGGTGACCCAGACCCTAATCTGCATTGAGGGTCAAAGGAGGCACTGGTCAGGATGCATTCCTGGCTAAGGCTCTTGTATGGATATAGAGTAGTATAGAGTGGAGACAACTTGGAACTGAGATCAGTGAAAAATGATCTGTGGAGACCCTTAGCATTTTCAGAGCTCTGTTCTCTTGACTGGATGGAGACATCCAGAGAGAGGAGGGAGAGGGCAGGAGGGAGGCTTGAAAGTCCCAATCTTCCCTCCTGCCAATATGCTCTTCAGCTCATGTCCTCCCTGTAGGAGCCCCAGATCAATGACTTGCTCAGTGTTTGTCAGTGGACCTAGATCCATGCAGCATGAATGGAGTTCAGCACCCAGCAGTCTTCAGCCTTGCCTTGTGCCTCAGCATCGACCCAGTCTGCAGAGAAATCGATGGTGACAGTTAGCAAAATGACCTGCTTGCCCCGCTCAGCCCAGCTGGCAGCTCGGCCCCCTCCCCAAACGCTCCCACTGAACCTTTCCTCTCCTCTGTGCACTTGCTGCTGTTCTTGCTGCTCCAAGTCCATTGATCACCATTTCCACTGAGACTGTTACATTTTCATCCTTCCAGGGGGTGTTGTGCAGAGCAGCCCACAGTCAGACTGTGGCTGCCATCCTGTCCATTGTGTGTCATCACCATCCACTGCATTTCAGGCTGTCTCCCATTTACTGTGAGCACCTGGGTGGGAAGCCCCACCTCAAAATCCACAGAGGCAGAAGGCTGCTCTGTCTGCATCTCATCTCCCCACAGAGGTCCCAGCATCCAGAAGCTGGAGCAGATACATATTCTGAACACAGGGACTTGGTTGGGCACTAACCTTTTGGCACCCAGGGGATTTTCTTATGTGGCATCACCATGGACATATTGGTGGGAGCTCCCAGGGCATATGGGACCTCTGGGATGTCTGCACCTGCCCATGGTGGTGGGTTTCTTGAGCCTGGTTAGGTCTGTGGACTTACTTGAGCATCATCAGGCACTGCTACTTGGCATCCAGTGACTTCCTTTGGGCACACTTGGGACTTCAATGAGCAGGACCTCATGCTGCCAGCCTTAGGGGAGTGTTTACACCAGAGACCTCAGACAGTTTCAAAGCCTGTGAGAACAAAACGTGTGCGCGTGTCTGTATATACGTGGCAGGTGTGTACCTGTTTCTGTGAGCATGTGTGTAGGGGAGCTTTTTTGTGTGCAGGTATGTGTGCATGTTTCTATGCATGCATACAGGTGCATGTAAATAGGCAGGAGGGGGTGAATGTGGCCCTGTGTTTTTATGTGCACCTGTATGCAAGGCTATATGCCTATCTGTATCTACATGTGCAGGCATATGAGCCTATATGCAAGGTAGTGCATCCATGTTCCTGTGTCCAGGAAGGTAAGTTTATGTTCATGAAGTCACGGGCACCCATGCATATCTGTACACACCTCACTGTGTCTGTGTACACATGTCTGTATGAGTGTATGCAGTCAAGCTCCCCATCTCTCTCCAGCAAGGAGGGCTGCTGCAAGTGCCCAGAGGAAGCAACAGCAAGAAGCTTCGGCTGGACAAGACAATACCCTTCCCCCAGGTTTGGCTGAGGTACCACACGACCATCCCCTTGCTGCATGTTGCATGGGGGGCTGTAAAGGAAAAAAGGAAGTTTGCTCCATTTCACAGTAATGGCAGCTTGTCTGGGAATCCTGCTGTGAGGTGGGGGGAAGGGGAGAGCTGTCAGAGCTCGTGTCTTGTCATTTGGAAACAAATCCTGCTTTACAGTGGTGCATGTGTGTGTGCATTCAGCCCTCCATACCTGCCTGGCCACTGTGTTCACCTAAGGCCTTCCCTATATGTGTACATGTGTGGATGCTGTGTATGACACAGATACACATGTATGAGTATGGATGTGTAAGTACATGGAAGAGCAGGTGTGTAGGGGTGTGGATAGGGGGTGCATGAGCACAGCCATATACCAATGTATGCAGTCTCATTTGGCAGAGCACTCGGGGGAACCCGTGTATCCTGGAGGCTTGAGTGCATGGGGCAGGTACAGTGTGCCTGCATGCTGGCCCAGGCAAGCTACTCCCTCCCAGCCCTGACACCCCATGGCTCTCCTTTCTCTTTTGGAGGGGGAGCAACAACTGTCCTGCTGCTGCCCAAATGCTCCCTCTGCAGTTGAAGTCATGGGCCTGCCTTTGTCATGAGGAATGGCCAGGGATTGCCCTGTCCCACGGTGGGAGGAGGAGCTGGAGGGAGCATCCAAGCAGTGCTGGCCTCCAGTGACCTCCTCCGGGTCATCAGCTTCCTCCCACCAGAAGCTACCCGGGCAGCGGGGTGGGAGGACACATGCAGCTGCCCCCAGTGCAAGTCCTTCCTCTGGAGCAGCCAGGGATGCTGCTCTCTCAACATAAGGTCCAGCAGCCAAAGACAGCACCAGCCCCCTGGTAAAACCACTGCTGCCCAGCCCTGGAGAGCACACCTTGTGGGGATGGGAGCCCTGGAGCCTGAACCAGGGGGAGGGAGAAAGACCAGTGCAGTCCATCCCAACCTCCCCCTGGAGAAGGGGTATTTGAGGGGTCATTGAGTAAGACAGGCCTCCCCTATCATATGCTAGAAAAGAGTTAAGTTTAGGGGCCTATTGTCAGGAACCTGGCAGCAGGCAAACCAATTAGCCCCCAGCTGGCCCTGGATACCGGGCTGGGCCTGACTGCCAGTGGCCTAATGACCTCCAGCTGGCCCTCAGCTGCCTGCTTATAAGAAGCATCTTGTTCACTGCCAGCAGGCTGCTCAACAGGACAGGTGTCTCTTTGACTGGTTTTGGACTGCTGATTCCTTGTTCCTCATTCTGTTTCCTGCCTGCTGACTCCTTCCAGATCCCACCCTAGATCCCTTTGCTCCAGACTGACCTGGCTCCAGCCCAGTCCTTTGTATGCTAACAGCCAGCTTGTGGCTTGTCACTTTAGTGATCACCTGTTGTGTCTTACTGTGTTTTCCTTGCACTGTCCCATGAAGGGCAAAGCCCTCCTGTTCAGCACTGCAGGGTTCAGTTGCTTGCGGCAGTTTCGCAGCACTGGGGACTCCCTGTTCTCTGCCATGAGTAGCCAGAGGTTTTCTTGTTTCCTCTCCCTCCACAGGACTGGGCTGGGTCAAGTCAGAGGCAGAGCAGGTAGAAGGTCTGTATACATGTATTGATGCAACTGTTAAGATCCACCATGGATATGATTCCAGAGAGTTATAATAATAAATTACTATTAGTCCAACACAGCAGTGTCCAGAGTGTTGTTGCTGAACTCACAACATATCACCCACATCCTAGTCCAGGGGCGGCCAATTATTTTGGGCAGAGGGCCGCTTACTGAGTTTTGGCAAGCCATTGAGGGCCACGTGACAAGTAGCTCAGGGCAGATTAATATTAATTTTCTAAATTTTTAGGGGCCCCGCAGGCTGGATAGAACGGCCTGGCGGGCCACATCCGGCCTCCAAGCCACATTTTGCCCAACCTGTCCTAGTCCCATGCAGCTACAGCTGCCTGCCCTTAGCTAGTAACTCCAGTCTAGATTCCTGCCTCCTGCTCCTAAACCCCCTGGCTTGTGGCTACCCAGGGTGATGACTTATGTGTTGGTCTCTTACAGACCTTGGCTTCCTGACTGCCTGCTCCTGATTCCTGACTTTAGCTAGGATTCTGGCTTTCCTGGCCTTGTCTTCCTGGTCTCCTGAGTTGTCACCCTCTGCAGTCAAGCTGTGTCCCCACCATACCTCTGATACAGCGCTTTGGCCCATAACTCCTCTCTCCAGCTCTCTGTGGATCCAGACCATGCACTCCAGCCTGGGGAGTGCCACAGGGGACACATGGGCTTGCAGATTCCTACGGCAAACTCTTGGTCTGGTGGGACCTCTTTGCTATAGATTTTCAGCTGCTTCAAGCCACAACTGCTTGTCTTTCTGGACCATTGTTCTGCCTGTTGGGGTCTAATGGGGGTAAGACAGCAATGAGCCAGATGCAATCGGTCTTGTTGCAATGTGCTCTGAGGTGGCTGGTTCCTCCTAAGGGCTGTGACTCCTGTTTTGTGCATGTGGGAGGTAGGTGCCCAGCAACCTGCCATCTCTGGTGATCAGGCCTCTAGTCCTGACTGGGCCCCATGAAAAACCTCATGGCTTGTTCCTATCCCACCCTTAGCCAATACACAGCATGGCCTGGACCTTGGGAAAGGCACGAATGCATCAGCAGAGCCAGACCAGAGCCCAGGTGTGGAATGGAAGGAGCCTGCTCATAGCAGCTTTCACTTTGCCCTCCTTTTGCCTGGCCCTGCCCACTGCTGCCAGACTCTCACCTTCATTGGTGACTTGACCCAGCACAGGTTTCAATCTGTTTATGTGGAGCGGTGAAAGCCATGCGGTAACCATGGTGCCACTTAGTTTGGAAATACACAAGGGATCTGACCTAGGGCCAACTGATGTCAAGGAGAGTCATTCCACAGATGTCAGCTTGGACTGGGCCTGTGGTGGGCACAGCTGGGGACACAGCAAGCCAGCCAGCGGAGAGATAGGAACCTGGGGCCAAATTCACCTCTGGGGCAGATCCACTGGAGTCCAAGGATTTATACCAGAGAAGAACTAAATGGGACCCTGATGCAACTCGGCTTTAGGGGCCCCTTCCTGCAGTCTGCAGGTCTGGCTGCTCTCGGATATTGCCCCCTCCAGACCCTGGACCTGCTGTCTTGGAAAGAAGCTTGGATCCAGAAATCTGCTTTCAGGGCAGAGGTAGAGATCACAGCAGGACCTATGCTCCTAGGCTATTAACCCTAGGAATCTGCTTCATGTGGTCTCTACTAGAGCGCTGGATGCTTTTCTGAAGGTGGAAGTGGTATCTATGAATGAGAGAGGCATGATGCATGGAAATGGGCCTAAACCAAAGTGAGCTCCCAGTACCTGGGTCCTAACGTTGTTTTAGGTCACATCTCTTTTCTAGTTCAATTCGAGTATCTGTCTCCAAACGCAGGGCTGAGATGCCCAGCTCCTTTCTGATGGTGTCACAGTGTGTACATTGATAAATTACCCTGGGATGGAGAGCAGACAGACCAACATCTATTTCAGGGCAGTCACACACCGTAGGCAGCTGTTATTGTGCTTCACCAGCAGGTGGCAGGGAAGCAGATAATAGGCTCTCTGCTCTGAGTAAAAAGTATAAATGGCATTAGCTATGCGCACAGAAGATAAGCACCAGCGTAGTTTCACCCTGATGTCTGCTGGGGTAACTCTATGGTAAACTCAAGTTAATTCCACCAGCATAAAGCTGGACATCGAGCATCTGCCCCTCTTTTATCCTGGTGTGATAGCTCAGGATGCTGGAATGAACATGTTGTGTGCCTAAGCCCACCAGCTAAATTCCGACTGGGATCAGAGAGAAAGCCTGAGTTGCCAAACTGGCTGAATGGAGAGTAGAACAGAGCAAACCTTTTATAGTGGCCCAGTGCTGCACGAGGCATCACTTTGCACGGAGAACTGGGCTGGCGTGAGGATTTTGCAGACACGGAGGTGCAAATCTATCACTGCCCTCCCATGAAGCCCACGAAGGAGTCAGGTATAAGCCAGGGGCGCTCCATACAGTTCCTGTGGTTAAAAATCTAGAGTTTCTAGTTCTCTTCTTTGATACTGAACAGCCTAAGTGCAGATCTCTGTGGAAGGCGGAATCACCTGTGCCTGCCTGATAAGTATTGTAAAACTAGCAGTACTTCCCGCCCTTGCGGTGGCAGGACACTGACAGTGCCCTCATCCCTCTGCTTTCCCTGTAGCAAGTTCAAGGGTGTGTTTGATTTTTCCGGCAGCATGCCTGCTAATCATTCATAGAAGTAGGGATTGTGTGTGAGGGCTTCTTCCCAGAGGTTTTAAGAATAAGTTAGACCAGTGATGCCCAGGCCACCTGGTTCCATGACTGGATTGGGGATGCAGAGTTGGCAAGTTGGGCCAGTCTGGAGGCCTGATCCAATGCAAAGAGATAGCCAAATTGGACCACAGACAGATCCTGCAGACTAATCCCATGCACTGGATCAGACTCCAGAATGACTGTGTGCACCAAACTAGGCTACAGGTTGGCCCTGTGCACTAAAGGTTGAGCACTTCTGGGTTAGACCAACACTTACCTGGGATGGGTTACATGACTGATCCTTGTAAGAGTTGGGGGCAAGATGCCCTCCAGAGGTCCCTCTCAGCTCTACTTCCCTATGATCCCATGAAGAAAAACATTTATATTGAACAAATCTTTTCCATCTGATACTTGGCTGTGTTGGTCAAGGGCTGTACTTCACCATAGAATGATAGAATCATAGAAAATGAGAGTTGGAAGGGACCTCAGTAGGTCATTTAGTCCAACGCCCTACTCAAAACAGGATCATCCTCAACTAGATCATCTGAGCCAGGGCTTTGTCTAGCCGGGCCTTAAAAATCTCCAAGGATGGAGATTCCACCACCTCCCTAGGGAATCCATTCTAGTGCTTCACCATCCTCCTAGCAAGAAAACTTTTCCTAATATTCAAACTAAACTTCCCTTGCTGCAACTTGAAACCATTGCTCCTTGTTCTGTTATCTGCTACTACTGAGAACAGTCCAGCTCCATCCTCTTTCAAACCCCTCTTCAGGTAGTTGAAAACTGCTATTAAATCCCTTCTCAGTCTTCTCTTCTGCAGACTAAATGTGCTCAGTTCCCTCAGCCTCTCCTCATCTCTAACCATTTTTGCTGCCCTCTGCTGGACTCTCTCAAACTTGTCCACATACTTTCTATAGTGGAGGGCCCAAATCTGGACACAGTACTCCAGATGTGGCCTCACCAGTGCAGAATAGAGGGGAATAAATACTTCTCTTGATCTGCTGGCAACACTCCTACTAATGCAGCCCAGTATGCTGTTAGCCTTCTTGGCAACAAGGGCACACTGTTGACTCATATTCAGCTTGTTGTCCACTGTGACCCCCAGGTCCCTTTTCTGCAGAGCTGCTGCCCAGCCAGTCAGCACCCAGCCATGGGATTGTTCCATCCTAAGTGCAGGACTTTGCACTTGTCCTTGTTGAACTTCATGAGATTTCTTTTGGCCAAATCCTCCAATTTTTCTAGGTCTTTCTGAATCCTATCTCTACCCTCTAGCATATCTACTACTCCCCCCAGCTTGGTGTCATCTGCAAACTTGCTGAGGGTGCACTCCATCTCATCTTTCAGATTGTTGATGAAGATATTGAGCAAAACCAGCCCCAGAACTGACACCTGGGGCACTCCACTTGATACCGGCTGCCAGCTAGATCTTGAGCCATTGATCACTACTCACTGAGCCTGACAATCCAGCCAGCTTTCTATCCACCATTCATCCAACCCATACTTCCTTAGCTTGCTTGCAAGAATGCTGTGGGAGATGGTATCAAAAGCCTGGGTAAAGTCAAGGTATATCACATCCGCTGATTTCCCCACATCCACGGAGCCCATCATCTTGTTATAGAAGGAAATCAGGTTGATCAGGCATGACTTGCCCTTGGTGAATCCATGTTGACTGTTCCGAATCACTTCCTTCTCCAAGTGCTTAGAAATGGATTCCTTAAGGATCTGCTCCATGATTTTTCCAGGGACGGAGGTGAGGCTGACTGGTCTGTAGCTCCCTGGATCCTCCTTCTTCCCTTTCTTAAAGATGGGCACTGTATTTATCCTTTTCCAAGCATTCAGGACTTCCCCGATCACCATGAGTTTTCAAAGATAATGGCCAGTGGCTCTACAATCATGTCAGCCAACTCCCTCAGCCCCCTCGGATGCACTGCATCCGGACCCCTGGACTTGTACACATCCAGCTTTTCTAAATAGTTCCTAACCTATTCTTTCACCACTGCTGGCTGCTCACCACCTCCCAAAATGGTGCTGCCCAGTGCAGCAGTCTGGGAGCTGATCTTGCCTGTGAAGACTAGGATAAAAGAGGCATTGAGTACTTCAGCCTTTTCTACATCATCTTTCAGTAGGTTGCCTCCCACATTTAGTTATGGACCCACATTTTCCCTGATCTTCCTCTTGTTGCTGACATAGTTGCAGAAACCCTCCTTGTTACCCTTTACATCTCTTGTTAGCTGCTACTCCAGTTGTACTTTGGCCTTCCTGACTTCATCCCTGCCCTTCATCCCCTTGTGCACATGCATCTCTACATGCCATCCACCCATAAGATTTGCATGTCCCATTTCTGTTTTGCATGCCTTGGTTTGGTGAGCACAAACGGTATGCAAATGCAGAA